TTTTAATGCGATAAATTATTGCTATAATATATATATATATATACATTTTTTGAACGTGTACTAACACACTTTGTAGAGGAAAAATATGAACGATTAAAAACTACAAGGTTCCCTTCTAGTGCTAAGCCTTTGGAGCCAATCCGTGTTGTTGTAGTGGCCCCATGTAGACAGTCAGGTTTTCTCGATCACAGGGCCAAAGAGATTCCTGCAACTTTAGCACTTCTATTTTCGAGGGTGAGACACTCAGGGTACTTCTCAGGGTGTGGCATCAGGCTCAATCGGAATTGAGAGTATCATAAGTGGTATTTTTGGACACCTATCTTCTGATTTTGGGTTTGATCTTGATGTTCTTGGGGTCGACTAGGTGTGCGAAGTTTACCTCGTTTGTCGTGGGTGAGAGGTTTCGATCTATATGATATGATCAGTCATGACTCTTCGCATGCTCCGCAATCGCTTTGTTCACAGCTCCAGCACGGTTTGTTATATTTTTTCAGTGGAGACCTCTTTCAGAAGATGTCAGACTCTGTGAATCTGATGTTGTTGGGGGCGATTCTTCAAGTTCCGCATCGATTCGATTGCAGACTTCAGGCAGCTACTTAAGGCATCACGCATTGAACACTTCTTTGGAGCAGGTCATGAAGAAATCCGTCGCCAGGGGGTGGTGCCACATGACACTCACTTTTGCTTGCGTGTCTCCACAAAGAGTGTCATCGTCTGTCCTAGGCTGAGGAGCCAGTGGAGACCACAGATCCGAGCGAGGCCGAGGAGATGGTTTCACCCTCGTCAGGGGGCCCAAAGGAAAATGGTTCCACGGAACAAGGAGGAGCTGAAGGCACCTGAAGGGAGCTGAAAGGATCTCTGGTAGGGTGACCTCTCTTTGAACTAGTTAACTAGCCTTTTTGGCCCTGGGTCAAAGACGATCACTGATTTTGTTAGGGGGAAAGGTCATATGGTTCCTGCAACTACTACTACATCATCATGCACCTACTTATGGGTAATGAGATACTTACCGATATGACCTAAGACCTTTGTGGAGTCACAGCGTCTTGTGACGCCAGCGGTTTACACGTTGGACATACAAATCCAAGTGTTCACCATCAGGCCGCTAAGTAGCCGAAGTCGGTTGGCCGGGTGGGATCTGATTGGGCGAGAATGGCCTTCCGTTCGCATGGCCAAGCGCCATGCGAACGGTCAGCTGTGGAGTCTGTGAGTCATTCCAACCTGTCCATGTTTGCTCTTCATTGCAAGCTGCGGAGGTGTCGCGCCCACTGTGCGTGTCGTTCCCCATCCGTCGCGTCCGTCGCGTCTCCGTGGCCAAGCCACGAGGCTCCCGTTTCGGAGCAGCGATCGGTCGCGCGTGTCCAGGTCGGGAGAGAGCACACCCGTGACGGTCGAGGAGGGTAAGCAGCCCAATGAGGAGAGGAAGGGGGGCATTTCCCTGCTGGAGCGCCCATCCCCTGCTTCCCGTGGTCTATGATGCGCTTCGGGGGGGGCCCTGATGGTTCGAGGGTCGACCCGCCAGCAGAGAAGCTGAAACTGATTGTTGCGCCGCGCGAAGGAGCCGGGGCGAGGCGAAATCGTTTTGCAAGGGGAGAAGACTCCGGGAAGTCCAACTTCTTGCGATACAACAATTGTTTGTTTCTTCGTTTGTTTGTTTTAGTTGGTTACTTGGTTAGTTATAATTAGTTAGTTAGTTCATTCCTTCGTTAGTCAGTTAGTTACTTCTTTTGTATTTCCCCAAACAGTTTACTATTAGGGGTTCTCAATTCTTTCTTAAGATGTGTCCGCCCTTCCTGTCACTGCTGGTGGCCATTCAGCATTTCTATTCATTTGTCTCCCAGGTGATTTCTTTACTTTTGTCTCCCAGGTTCGGTGCCTGCTTTGTTGGTGTCCGCCCTTTTCTGCTGGCCATGCAGCATTTCTATTCATTCGTTTCTGCGATTTCTTTACTTTTGTCTCCCAGGTTCAGTGCCTGCACTGCTAGTGTCCACCCTTTTCCGCTGGCCATGCAGCATTTCTATTCATTTGTCTCCCATGTGATTTCTTTCCTTTTGTCTCCCAGGTTCGGTGCCACTGCTGGTGTCCTTGCTGCGGGACAGCGTATCCGCCGGCCTTCTTGTTGGTCATTGTGTCTGCCTTGTCTTCCTCCTGCCTCCCTTTGTCTCCGGTCTTGTCTCCCTTCTTGTTGGTTACTGTGCCTCCCTTCTTGTTGGTCATTGTGTCCACCTTGTCTCCATTCTGTTTCCTTTTGTCTCCCTTCTTGCTTTCCTTCTTGTTGGTCATTGAGTCCGCCTTGTCTCCCTTCTGTTCCCCTTTGTCTCCGGTCTTGTCTCCGTTCTTGTTGGTCACTGTGTCCGCCTTGTCTCCCTTCTGTTTCCTTTTGTCTTCCTTCTTGTTTCCTTCTTGTTGGTCATTGTGTCCGCCTTGTCTCCGTTCTGTCGTCTTGTCTCTCTTCTTGTTGGTCACTGTGTCCGCCTTTTCTCTTTTCTGTCTCCCCGTCTTGTTCGTCACTGTCTCCGTCTTGTCTCCCTTCTGTCTCCTTTTGTTTCCTTTCTTGTCTCCCTTCTTTTTGGTCATTGTGCTCCCCTTGTCGCCCTTATGTCTCCCTTTGTCTCCAGTCTTGTCTTCTGTTTCCTTTTGTCCCCCTTCTTGTCTCTCTTCTTATTGGTCATTGTGTCAGGTCAACTCCCAGATTTTGGGCCGCTTGCTTGCCCTCATCGAAGCCACCAAGCAGCATTTCGTCCTGTTGGGTGACTGGAACAACAGCCCAGATCTCTTCCACATCCTTGAGCAGAGGTTGAGTGGCAGTGTCTTGGACTACGCCTCTTCCACAACACCTTGGCAGTTGCACCTCTCTGCAAGCCGCCTTGTCTCCCTTCTGTCTCTTTTGTCTCCCTGCTTGTCTCCCTTCTTTTGGTCATTTTGTCCGCCTGGTCTCCCTTCTCTCTTTCTTTGTCTCCGGTCTTGTCTCCCTTCTTGTTGGTCACTGTGTCGGCCTTGTCTCCTTTCTCTCTCCTTTTGTCTCCCCTTCTTGTTGGTCACTGTGTCCGTCTTGTTTCCATTCCCTTCTTATCTCTCTTCTTGTTGGTCATTATTGTATCCGCCTTGTCTCCCTTCTGTCTCCAGTCTTGTCTCCCTTCTTGCTGTGTCCGGCTTGTCTCCCTGTTTCCTTTTGTTTCCTTTTGCTTCCCTTCTTGTCTGAGGCGGACACAGCAGCCCAGAGCTGGGAGACAAATAGAGGCGGACACAGCAGCTCAGAGCTGGTTGAGAAATGTAAAGGGTTGCAAAGGATTGCAAGGCGGAGGTGGGTACAGCAGCTGAGAGAGATGTAAGGGATTGCAAGCGAGAGGCGGACAGAGCAGTCCAGCGCTAATGTAAAGGGTTGCAAGGCAGAGGCGCACACAGCAGCCCAGAGCTGAAACACAGATGGAAAGGATTCTTGTTGGTCATTGTGTCCGCCTTGTTTCCCTTCTGTCTTCCTTTGTCTCCGCTCTGCTGTGTTGCAGTCCTTTACATGTCTCCCAGCTCCGGACTGCTGTGTCCGCCTCTCGCTTGCAATCCTTGACATTCTCCCAGCTCTGGGCTGCTGTGTCCGCCTCGCTCGCAATCCTTTACAATTGTCTCCCAGTTCTGGACTGCTGTGTCTGCCTCTCGCTTGCAATCCTTACATTTGCCGTGTCCATCTGGGCTGCTGTGTCCGCCTCTGCCTTGCAATCCTCTACATGTGCAGCCCAACTCTGGACTCCTCTCTCCCCCCCCTTGCTTGCAACCCTTTACATGTGTCTCCCAGCTCTGGACTGCTCTGCCCTGCAATCCTTTACATGTGTCTACCAGCTCTGGGCTGCATGTTGCTTGCAATCAATCCTTTACATGTGTCTCCCTGTGTCTACATATGTCTCCCAGCTCTGGACTGCTGTGCCCGCCTCTGCCTTGCAATCCTTTACATTTGTCTCCCAGCTCTGGGCTGCTGTGTCCGCCTCTGCCTTGCAATCCTTTACATTTGCCTCCCAGCGCTGGGCTGTTGCGTCCGCCTCTGCCTTGCAATCCTTTACATTTGTCCTTGCAGTCCTGCGCGTTTGTCTCCCAGCTCTGGACTGCTGTGTCCCCCTCTGCCTGGCAATCCTTTGTCTCCCAGCTCTAAACGTCGCAAGCTCTAGTTGCAGAGTGTTCCGATTGTGAAAAAGCACAAACTGTTTGGGGTCTACGATGGTGTAGTTTTGTTTTTTAAATCGAGCATCAAGCCACCTGTCGTTTCATTGGTAGACCACGAAAGGAGTGGATCAGATCTGCCCATCCGGGAATCAATGTTTTTCTTAGTCAAAGGGTTTCACCACCTGGTAAAGGCCCGTGGCCGACAGTGTGTGTTTGGGGTCAGGCGCCACGGGTGAATTCATGTTTGTGAGGCCTTTTTTTTTCTCGGGACCAACGCTTGCTCGGCTCACAAAGCGTTGATTTGCGTTGATTTGTGGGCTCTTCGTGTTCTTGGTCCCGTGGTCAACTGATAAGGCAAGTGATCAGTTTCTGGCCAGGTTGAAGATTAATAAGGAGAATCAAGCACAGGAACTTTCAAATCCATTGTTGTGGATGGATGGGATCCACATACTTCTCAGTTGAATCCCTTCAATATTCCAAAAGAAACAACCATCCTTCAGCCACGTGACAGTGAAGTTCGAAGAAGAGTTGGAATACTTTTCTTTCTTGGTTTTGCTTCGCGGTGTCGAATCGCAGCACTTCACGGTGTGTTGAGGGTAGAGGTCCTCCGTGGCTGGCCTCATTTTGTTGCTTCTTCTATCTACGCACGGACAGGGCAATCCATTCCATTAAGCGGCTCGTTGGCCATAGTCTCATCCTCCAAACCTGACACCACCTGCTACAGGGAAACAGCAGGGTATCATGCTCGGCATGTTCGGCTGAACTAACCAAGAAGTCAGGAGCAGGGTCTTTACCAGTCCCTAGCCGACTCTAGTCTACGGGTCACGTTGCTTGAGACCTGGGCGGCCATGTCCAACCAGCAGAGTTGCCCCAACTCAGACCGAGATGCTTGGTGTGGACCCTGGTGCCGGCATCCGGCCGTCGGAACTGTCCGTTCTAGAAACCCACAGTCGTATTGTAGGGGTAGTTGGATTCTGGGGGGTCTTCCCCAAACAAGAACCCTTTGGCTTCCACCAGTCCAACCAGCGGCCCAGCTCTTTTCGCCCGCTGTTGCTCTTGTCCCACCCGCAAAGCCCTCCCAAATCCTTCACGTCCAAGTCCACCCGTGGTGGTCTCAACAGGATGAGAAGGAAGCCTTTCAGCTTTACCTGCAGAAGTTCGGCGAGTGCCGCGATGGTTCCAACCCAGGCGGGTCGCTTCGATGTTCTTGGCGTCGAGGTCGGGTCGCTGCGATGCGAGAAAGGGTGCCCCAGAAAAGGTTTCTGGCGAGTTTTCGCTTAGGCAGGTGGGTTCAAAAGGGATTTGCTGCCCGGTGGTCAGCGAGTTCAGACTCTTTGATTGGAAGATGTGATTTGCTGCCCAATAGACATGGGCTTTTGGGGATTGTCTGGCCCTTTGGATAACCGGGAAGCTCCACTTTGTTTGCCGGAGGGGAGGCAAATCTTCTCTTCTGCTTATCGTGGAGAACTGGCTTCTTAATAAGAGTACCAAGGTCTTTGGCAAGGGAGCCATCAACAGGCGGGCTGCAATGGGTTTTGTTAATTCTCTGGATTTGGATTTGGGGGGACAACTTGCTTTTTTTCAACATGTTGATTTGGACCGCTTGAAGGACCATCAGATTCTCTGGCCAAATCGCAGCGCCGTACCCAGCTTCACCATCGCGGGCAGCGTGCGAGACGTCGCGAGGTTATAGCCGCAAGGCTTTCCCTTGGTATAGCGGCAAGCTGCCACAGGGTGAGAAGGTCTCAGACGAGTCACTGCAGGCCGCCGCCTAAGCGCCGCGCGTGCCGCGCTTGGTGGATGGATGAGAGACACCCTGCCTGGGTGAGTGATGCGCAAAGCTTGGATTGACGATGTTTCGGGTATCGGCCCTAGACCGATTTAAACACGTGTTCCAGGATTTGATCCAACTCCAATGTAGAATCTGGATGATGTTTCAACCCCCAATCATAAAGAGGTTTCACAATCCAAATGGGGGGGGGTTTATTGAATTACTGTAGACTCTTGATTAATAACCCTGCCTTATGAAGAGGATATCCCAGTGAAACAGGGGGGTTATTAATCAAGAGTCTGCATTACTGTATATACTTATATAATTCTACATTCTATGGCGAGTTCTGCTCCAGTCTTCCCGGTCCCTTTGACTTGCCCGAGTGCTGAGGGGATGGGGCGTGGAAGCTGGTTCCTCTGGTTCGCCACATCTGAAGTGCTCAAACTGGGTTTCTACGAATCTACTCCGACAAGCTGCAAGTATACATTTTCCACAGTGCTTGCGTGCTTTTCCATTGACCACCCTGGAGTTTGCTGGGTAATTACACTTGTATGATCAGCATCCAGTGGATCCAGGAATTGCACTAGAGAACCTCAGCCGTGCAAGAAAACCATAGATTGAAAACTCATCGTTCCACCTTGCACACACCCACAAGGCAACTCCATCCTCCAAAGTTCTTGTTGTAGTGCCTGTCCAAAGCCTACCTGCACCCCGAACTCGTCCACACCAGCTCCACTTCAGCTCACTTGGGTTCACCGGCCGGCCACGTTGACCAGGCAGCCTTGGCGTATCGCCCCCAACCGGCGAAGCGCCTGAACAAGCCCAACCTGGTGGAGGCGGCGTTGTCCGGTTTCTACGGAACGCACGGGGTTGGAGCGCGTTCGGTCGCTTCACCGCAAGGACCCCCAACAGCTGGTTGATGGCCCTTAACCTCTAAGGCGCTATCAAGAAACACCCCTTGGAAGGTCCTGGGAAGGTCCTTGATTTTGGGTTCACGCCCTGTTCGCATCAGCCATTGGATGACTCCAGCCGACGCCCATGACTGAAATTCAGTCGACCATATCGGATCTTGGATCGACGGAGTGGTTGGGTTTGTTTCGGTGGCCAGTTCAGTTCTCATCTTCCAATATTCGCATTAGCTTTTAGTCATTTCCAACTGGTTGTTGTGTAAAAGCTTCCAACTTTGTGAGGTCCTCAGGGTAGAGAGTGGTCAGATCTGACGAAGTTGAGGATCTTTTCGTTGGACCGGATGACGGTCGGTGCTCCCCTCTCGTCCTCCACCGGCATCTCGCTGCATGGCGGGTCCAGGTGGATTCGGAAGGCGAGGAAGTGCCGCTGTGCACCAAGTGTTCCATGCCCGTGGGCGAGTTTGCCTACCAGGGCCGCGAGGGGAAGCACACGTGTGTGCACACGGAGTGCATGGCACAGGCGAGTTTTCGGGTGCGATTTTATGTTCTGCTCTTTTTATATTCGGTGCTGGGCTGTGATGAGAAGAGAGGGTTAGGATGATACAGATCATAGATTGTAGCATGTCTGCAAACAGATTCCTCTCGCCACTTGCACAGTCTTCAGTGGATAGCATGCCGGCTCCCGTCTTTCATCGTTTTGCCAAGGCCCCAAGGCTCTCAATTTCCAATATCACAGTGACCTTGCAAAGAAGAGCTTTTTGAGATTCGAGGACTCATCTAAAACATCAAGGCTAAGAGCAGCTGTCGGAAACTGGGCCGTGGGGGGCAGCTAAGCTAGCACTGGCGCAGGTCTTAATGAAGGAGGCCCAGAGGGATGAAGAGCTCCGAAACCAGCGGGAGCAGCAGAAGAAGATCTTGAACCGAAGGGAATTTGACATCGGATGGCAGATGGCGTCTCGGCCAGGTGGCGGTAGTAGCACTTGGATCGAAGAACCATAGGGCTGGTTCACAGGTGTGGTGTCTCAAAAGATCCCTCTCGAAAAGACCTCTGAGAATGCAGGTGCAAACAGGTCTATGAAAAGCTTGCTTGGGATGTGATTTGACACCATTGATCCAATGTAACGATTCCCGGGCTGCAAACATGGCGGGTTCATTGGTCCGGATCAAACCTTGAAAACAAGCCGTTGACGAGTCCAGGCTGGTCAAACTGTTGTGAATGTTGCAGCCACCATTCCGAACTTCAAGATTCAGCTCTATAACATGAAACTGTTGAGATCCCCGAATGAGTGTTACTTCTATGTTTGCGCCTTTACTTTGAGGTCGCAAACAGAGTCCTAGACTAGAGACCTCCCAAGTCACGAACCTCGAAGACCCTGCTTGTTGAATGAAGATCCCTGCTCATGGAGCTTCCCCACTTCGGGCGGCGCGGAAGGGTGGAAACCGTCGCCGTGGCCGTCGGGCCAATCTGTAGCGATCGGACACCGATCTTCAAGTGGTTGGAGGGCTTTGCCTTCCGTGTTTTCATAGCTTTCCAGAAAATCGAGAGGGACATGCCTCCAGTTTGAGAATGCACTAGAAACCTCTATAGACACTATGTGCTATACTATATAACTGAAGAAGAGCATAGAAATCCGTAGACTGCACAATTGTCTTCGAAGCTGCGAAGTCACCTCAGGACAGTGTGCCCCAGAATGCACGCTGGGCCGCGCGCATGGGCTGTGACGCCAATCCGCAGGGCTTGTGCTGTTTGGTCTTGGATGAGGCGAGGGGACGGGGCGGGTGTGTGGCCAGGCAAAGAATTTCGAGATTGGATCTTTCATACCCAACCCAACCCACCATTTAATATCATTTTATGTCTATAAAATGGCCAGCAAGACTCCCCCACCTATATGGTGATGGGTATGATCTTTCTGTCCTTGGTGAGGTGAAAGAGGGATTGTTGGGCGACCCTTGGGGCCTCAGATTCGTGGGTTTTGCATTCACGTCCTGCCCAGGCCAGCAGGACCGTGAAAGTGAAGGCCACCCTGGAACCTTCAGCTGCTGTGAACTTGGAGTACCTCCTCCTGGCCCTCAAGGCGCCGGTCGACCCAAACCCGTCGACGTCCAGACCTTCCGGTTGGAGATTTCCGAGGTGCGGAAGACGGCGAGCCGCGAGCCGCTGTTTTCGCTGGACCCGGTGGACCCGCAGAACTTGGAGCAATCTCCGCAGAAGAAGGTCTATGCACCTCAGCGTCAGTGGAGTGGACTTGTTTTGGTGGGGTTCGAGTGGAGTTTGGGAACGGTTGGCTGGTGGAGTTGGAGGAGGAACCATGTGGGGACGGTGTTTGAAGGGGAGTTGGGGAAGGTTCATGTGTTCTTGAGGGGTTTTTGGACCTTTTGTTCAGAGGGCAAAGGAGGGGTTTCCTGGATTTTGATAGAGGAATGTGTGCAGCTGAGGCTTTTGTTTCAAATGTCCCCCGCTCTGCTTGAAATCGATCTGCAGTAAGGAGCCCAAGTGGTTGGCTGGCACCAGCGCAGGCTGCGAGATTCTGTTGTTTTTCTCAAGTGAAGTCGGTGTCGGTGTAGGTCGTTAGAGTCGGTGACCGGAACGAGTGTTGGGAACGAGCTCGGAGCTTGTGACCCTTGGAGCTTGGGCCGGAGACCTACAGACCTGAAAACTCGCACAGTGACTGAAGGGGAAGCAGGTCTGTGACTGAAGGATGGACAGTGAAGGAGAAGGTTGGGTGGAAGCACCGAAGCCACCGATCTTTAGGCCTTCTGTATCTGTTCAGAAGGGCGAACCGGCTACCCCTCTGACTGAGACCATCACGATCCAGTGCCTCGAATGAACAACGGTTCTGGGGCTTAAACTGGTCCCGTCCGCCGTGCCAAGTCCTGAAGCCCTGGAGACCCCCCAAATGACAGGTTTCAGCACTCAGTTCAAGCTTTGAGGCTCAGGAGCACGTCCTCCGTGGCGATAGATGTAATCCTATACCAGCACCGACTTCACAGGTCACCAATTGAAACCTGTTACTGTATATAGGCCTAACAACCCTCCAGAGGAGACCTGTTGGAAGGTGCTGGTAGAAATACACCCACCTATTCATCGTCCGACAGCCACGCAGGCGACGTGATGTTCCAGGCAGATTACTTCCTGAAGGAGCCAGACAGCATGCTTGGACCCTGCAGCAGACCTCCTCCATCACCTCATTCTTCTGAAAGCAAGACATGCACCCCTGGGATGCACCGATACAGGGGACATGGGAAGCAGGACACAGACGAAGTGACCCAAGGAAGAGAGTTGACGATAAGGTCCCGTTTTTCCATGTGTGATAATGGTGTGTTGTCCCAAGACGGTTCACTCCAACCTGAGGGGATACAGATACACAATATTACAGAATGAGAAAATATAGGTTCTTTCAACTCCAGTGACTCTGGGTGTGTTTGATTGGTCAAATCCTTCTCATGAAGCTTCTGAACATCAAACCCTTCTCATCGAGGGCAGTGCCCGTGGAGCTTCGAGTCCGTCCGCTCTGCCGACTCGCGCTGGTCGAACAGACGAAGCCCTGCCTTTCCGTAGTGTAGGAGTTGGCATTGGGGGAGTACAGCATGCCTGTGGTGGGAATGAGCAGCGTCTTCGACTTCTCGGAGATGACTGGGAAGGAGAACCAATGGGCTGGCGCCTTTGGCCTCTTCTGGAGGGTGGGAGGGTGGTTTGGGCCGTGGATCGACCCTAGTCGCTTGAGCCCGGTAGGTGGACGCTACGTCGTAGTCTGTTCTCTTTAGCTCGAGCTGCGAGGACCTACCAAGTCGAACGGTGCCAGCGGGGCGAATTCGCATCTCCACCGGTGGGAGATGAACTAAGACTAGTAGCTAGAAGCTACTAGTACCAAGGGCATTACTAATTACTAAGTAACAAAAAGCTAGAAGGATGAACACCCCAAGACACAGGAACTCCCAGGATGCGGATCTACCCGCACCCAGATGCCGTGTTACACGGCAAAAAAGGAAAAGAGGTGAACTCACTTCTGTGAAATAGGGGAGGGCAGACTCGGCCAATGCATTTGGTGGCACGTGGTGTATGTGGTTCAGGAAAGGCCAAAGTGTCCGTATTGAATGGCTACAATGCATTTCCTGAGCTTTTCCAGGTCAAGCGAAGAAAACTCGCACAACTGTCATGAAGAGTGAATCCTCTCTTGTAAAAGAAGGAAAGCAAGTTCCGGGTGCGATACAAGATCATCCTCATTTGTTCTATTCTGTTCATTTTCCGTAGGAACAAACCCGCTTCTTTTTCCGGTGCCATGCCCCACCAGCCATTTGTTGAGTTTTTGCAGATCTGATGGGTGTTGGAGTGGATTTGCTTGAACTATTCACGAAAGCTAGCGAAGCTAGCTGGAGTTACTCTTGCGATAGCAAGGTTTCTTTCGATCGGGTGCAAATCCTAACCCCTGATTTTTCAGGTCGAAGCGCCCCCCCCCCC